GTGGGTGGCTAGTGCAGCATCGTGGGTGCAAGGCCGGTCCGTGATGGCACACAGAAGCTGCCATAAGGACCAATCGGTGCTCTAGCAGGGTGTGCGCCGGTGTTTACGTGGGAAAAACCGCGTCGCAGGGCGGCCACGCCCACAAAACTTGACTGTTGATGTGTGGTCCCAGGTTACGCGTGATTGACAGCCCAGATACACGTACTAGCGCAAATCGTAGGTGTCGGTGCCAAGGTACATTGAATCAGTTTCAGAGTCGGTACGCATTTGACTCTGAATTATTAGAGTACACTCAAAAAAATCTCTGAAATTGCAGAGTTGGCTTAAAAAAAACTCTGAAAGTTGTAGAGTTGAGGCTTAAAAAAAAAGAATTAAACAGACAACACTTAAAAAAAGGCTGAAATATAAAACTTTTATAGGCAAATCAGAGAAATTTCTCTGACTTCATGGGGCCTGCTTCCAGCTTTGCCTATCCAAATGACTCAGTCAAGTGTCGAAATGTAAATAAACTCCTACACTGAGACCGCAGCGCATCCCCTAATGTTTTAATTTGACCCGCTTTTCGTTCCCCTCTAACTTGTCTGAGAAGTCTGAAACATACCCTCTTTAAAACAAATGACTTAGCAACAGCCCACATGTACTGGGTAAACCAGAAATGTTTTCCCAAGGGGGTGAATTTGGCCCCAGGCCCGGTTCGGCTGGAGTTACGGATGTTAGAGCGTTTTTAACCAACCTCGAAAAAACGCCGGCCCAAAAAAACCTCGAAGCCAGGCTGCGCATGCAAGGTACCTTAAAAAAAACGGTTGCCCTGTTCGGGTGGCATTAATGGGGTTTAAAATAATGGCACAGAAGGGGCGTGAAATTCGCAGAATCGTGTAGAAGGTGCAGTGCACCTTCGAACAATCGCGTGATTGGCGTGCGCATTCGACCAGTCACATATGATTGGCCGCATCACTGATTCCCCGCATGGTGGTCGGTCTCGACCATGCACAATGCGGCGGATCAGTGGTGCACCATTTTGCCAGAGAAGACGGTTTCCTAGAACCATCGTACGGTGGAAAATGCCAGCGTTAAAAGGGCTGTTCGGCTGGCATTCTTAAATGCTCAGGTTCGGCCTAGATTCGCTTATATCAAGCCTTGATAACCCTTCAAACATTTATCAACGTAGGTTCCAGGGTGGTCGTTTTACTGTAGCCTGTCCCCGAGCTTGAGATTTTAACGCTTGCCAAACTGGGCCCTAGTGAATTTGGGCCCAGTTTGGCAAGCATTATGGCCATTATGGGCATTTTTAATGCCCCCCCCCCCCAAAATGCCCCTCGAAACAACTTCAATATGAGACTGTAGCTGCAGTGCAACTTCGGAAATATGGGCCCGAGTGTTTGGTTGGCATTAAATGGGCCTAGACTAATGACATCAATTGAGGATTTAGCTTCGCAACAGCAATGGAGGCAGTTGACGTGAACGATCGCGTGATCATGCGATTGGCTGGCATATTTGACCAGTCACTTTTGATTGGCCGCATCACTGATCCCCCGTGTGGTGCGAGACCTCAAGGCCACATGGTGTGGTAAGAAAAATAGGGTTCGAGGAAGATTCATCTGGTAGAAAATGCCAGCGTTAGAAGGGGTGTTCGGCTGGCATTCCATTATTGTCTGGTTCGGCAATGATCCGCTTATATTGAGCCTAGATACCTTTCACGCGCTTATCAAGGAAGGTTCCAGGATCGGTCGAACCGGGCCTTGAAGTGTGTTGGGAACAAACAGTCTTAAGCGCCTCTGTCGTGTCGAAACTCCAAGACACAAGCGAAGCAGCGCATATCGAAGCACCAGCGAGTCAACCCTCGGAGGTTGATGTAACCGCTGGAGGTTACGCGAAAGTCAAAGGTCAGCGACCTTTGACCTGACAAATGCAGCGTGACAGCAAGGACACACAACTGACTCGACATTAAGTAGTTGCCCGAGTCGCACTGTATCGAACCGCAACAGTAAAGTAGTTATAATTACGTCTCTTCATATTCTCTGTATTCATATATATATTCTTGTATCTCTTTGCTTTAATCAACTTACTTTGCCCTCACATACCAGCGCAAGGTGGTTCAAGGACTTTACTAAAAAACGCTTCCGCTACCACATCATTTACTCATACTTTAACTCTACCAAAGATCCTAGGGCGTTCAGCCCAACATGGTATGAAAGCAGGTTAGAGTTAAAATACTTCTTCTCAACACTCATTACACCAAGAGATATGTCTCCTTGAAAGGAGAGCAGCTCCTCCAACGGCTCTCCCGGTACTACCCCTACTCTACCTCCTGCCTCTGGCCTATAGACAGAGGAAGGGACAACAACGAGACCGGCAGCTGGGTCTACTGAAACTCCCGCAAACCAAGGCGTGGGCTTCGATCCAAGCATGATGGAGAAATTCTTCTCCTTCATGTCCTTTTACGAGCAGCATCAGCAAGGAGGACCTACACAATCACACAACAGCAACAACAACGGAGCAACACCCATGAGTCTTGACGGCTCATCATATGCACGGGGAAACCAGCAACAACAGCCTACCTTTGCTCCGTACGAGCGCGGATCCATCAGCTTCATGCCACAACCACAGCCCTCGCCTAGACAAGAAAAACAACTAGACGCACTGCAAGTTCAGTCACATTTCGCACATGTTCTGAAGATGCAGACGTCAAGACCTTTCGACGGAAAGGATTTCTTCACCTGGTCGTTCGAGTTCGAACTGATGATGGAAGGCGCACAGATACTTGGGTTCTTCGACGGGACCCTGCCATATCCAACAAACGGCACACAGTACGAGAAGCAGCAATACACCTATCAGTCAATGATGGCGTACATGATCCTACTAAGAAACATCACCCCGACTCAACAGCAGAACATAAGGACCTACCGAGGTTACGGTAACTCCGCGGAGCTCGCGTACAACCACCTGAAGAGCCTGTATCAAGCAACAGACAGTGTAAGTCAAAGTCGGTTAATGGCGCAACTGACAACAGTTGAAATAAAACCAGGAGAGAAAGGACTCGCGTATATCAGTCGATGTCGCGAATTGCGCAACAAGCTTCTTCGATGCGGAGGGTCGATCTCTGAAGACGCCTTCGTGACAGTCATCATCGGCGGCCTCGGTCCTCAATGGCGCGCCACAAAGGCCATCCTCCGAGCTCACGGGAGAATCTCCGAAGCAGCACTCTGCGCCGAAATCCATGCCGAGCAGCAAGACATGGACGTGCAAGAAGAACGACATAAAAAGAAGACGTCAGCACCAGAGTTCGCGTTTCACACCCAGCGACGCTACAACAACAACAACAATCGGCAGCAACAACTGAAGCCGGTACCTCCGTTTTGCCACATCTGCAAAACTTCAGGGCATCCTCGTACGCACTGCCCAAATCGACAACGCCAACTTCGTCCTTCAAGCAGCCAAGTCACTTCAACGCAAGCAAACCCGACAACTTCAGTCCAAGTCTCAACAACTTCAACAGGACAACCTGCAAAAGAAACAAGAAATATCGTCAGCTGCATGGTAAGACTGAATGACTCCTGCACAACCGAGTCACCACCATACTACTCACCAGAAGAACAACTCAACAACGGCACGCCTCGCCGCGAGTCACTTCAACCAAACCCGACGTACGCCGCCATTGCCCAAAGCGAGCCATCCGGAAAGGACACTTGGTTCTTGGACAGTTGCTGCGGACAATACATGTGCTCCTCATGACGTTTCGTTCAACGCGAGCACCAACTTCAACGATAAGTCGTCATCACTGTCGCCAATGATCAGAACCTGCGCACAAGACGACAAGGCATAGTGCAACTTCAGTCACGGGAGACGAATGTCCTGTCAGAGCATTATAGCTTATACATTTGTGTAGGCTATAGTGGGGTAGCCCATATGGGGTACAACCCAATTAGGGTTAGTACTTGTACCCAACTGTTTCATAGTGCATTCATCCATTCTCACTTCTCGTCATGGTATCGAGCAGGTTCCCGAGTGGGAATACTGCCTAGGGCCCACCACGTACTTTTTCTCCTCTGCCCGGAGCGCGCTTACCTCCTAACCCGAGTAGCGCCCTGAGACGCCCTTTGGCCGCCCTTACTGCCCCTCGAGCCGCCCACTGTTGGCCCCGCTACGGCCCCGTTGGCCCTGCTTAGGCACCGTCAGCCCCACTTAGGCCTTGCTACGGCCTCATTGCGGCCCCGCTTAGGCCCCGTCGGCCCCTCACTTCGGCCCCCGTCGGCCCCGCTTAGCCCACCGTCGGCCCCGCTTAGGCCCCGTCGGCCCCCACTTCGGCCCCGTTGCGGCCTCGCTACGGCCCCATCGGCCCCGTTGCGGCCCCACTTAGGCCCCGCCGGCCCCGTTACGGCCTCGCTACAGGCCCCGTCGGCCCCACTTCGGCCCCGCTACAGGCTCCGCTACAGGCCCCGTCGGCCCCCCGTCGGCCCCGTCGGCCTCGTCGGCCCCACTTCGGCCCCGCTGCAGGCCCCGCTACAGGCCCCGTCGGCCCCACTTTGGCCCCGCTACAGGCCCCGCTACAGGCCCCGTCGGCCCCACTTCGGCCCCGCTACAGGCCTCGCTACAGGCCCCGTCGGCCCCCCGTCGGCCCCGTCGGCCTCGTCGGCCCCACTTCGGCCCCGCTACAGGCCCCGCTACAGGCCCCGTTGGCCCCACTTCGACCCCACTGCGGCCCCGCTAAGGCCCTGCTAAGGCCCCGTCGGCCCCACTTCGGCCCCACTAAGGCCCCTGCTACGGCCCCGTCCCAGCCACCAAGCCGCCAGGCAGCCGAGCCGCCCAGCAGCCGAGCCGCCCGACAGCCGAGCCGCCCAGCAGCCGAGCCGCCCCGCAGCCGAGCCGCGCAGCAGCCGAGCCGCCCGTGCACCCGAGCCGCCCGGCAGCCGAGCCGCCCGTGCAACTGTGCCGCCCTGCAGCAGCCCGATCGCCCCACATGCCTGGTAAGAGCTCAGTCTCTGCCTCACTGCGCTCACTGCATGCCTACTGTTGTTATGGCTTCCCCTAGCATTCTCACTTTTGATGTTGAGGGTCGGGTAGTGGACTTTGAGGTCTGGGTAGATGATCTGCAGCTTTTTCTGCAGTGCGATAGGGCAGACGGCCTCTCCCTGTTTGACCTCACTTCTGGTGCCTCCCCTGCCCCTGCTGCTGATGTTGACGCCACTGTTCGCTCACAGTGGGCCACACGTGATGCTGCTGCTCGCCTTGCTGTTCGCCGCCACTTACCGACCACTGAGCGTGCGCACTTTAGCCAGTACAAGAGTGCTCAGACCTTGTACGACACTGTCGTTGCACGCTACTCTTCCCCTGCCACTGTTGCATTGAGCCGCCTCATGCTTCCCTTCCTCTTCCCTGACCTTGCTGCCTTTCCCACTGTCGCTGACCGCATTACGCACCTCCGCACTCTTGACACTCGCTACCGCGCTGCGCTTCCTGCTGAGTTCTGCGCCAAGAACCCCCCCCCCATGTACATCACCCTCTACTACATAGTCACCCGACTCCCTGACTCTCTTCGCGTAGTCAAGGACCACTTCCTCTCTGTTTGCCCCACCACTCTCACCGTTGACCTCCTCGAGAAGGCCCTCCTAGCAATAGAAAAGAGCATAGTCGCTGTAGGAGCCTCTCGTGGTGACCCTCGCACCCCCGTCTTTGAGGGGTGTTCTCCCTCCCCCCTCTTGCCCTCTGTCGCCTCTGCTGCTGTGGCCGACCTCGTTGGTTTCGAGTCGGTCGGCGCTGCGTCTGCCCCGAGTGGGAGACGCCGCACCGGCAAGGGCAAGGGGGGCAAGGGCTCTAGAGGGGGTGGAGGGGGCGGTGGAGGTGGTGGTGGTGGCGGTGCAGGGAGTGGGGTTGGTGGTGGGAGTGGTACCGGGGGTGGTGGTGGCGGCGGCAGCAGTGGAGGCGGCGGAGGCGGTGGAGGTGGCGGAGGGAGCGGAGGCGGCGGAGGTAGTGGAGGCGGCGGAGGTGGAGGAGGCGGCGGAGGCGGCGGTAGCGGTGGCGGCGGCGGCGGCGGCGGTGGTGGTGCGAGTCGCGACTCTGCACCGAGGAGTGGCTCCGGTGGTGGTCAGCGCCAGCAGCACCAGCAGAGCGGTGTGACCATGTCCCCTCAGCAGCTTCGTGAGTGGTACACTGCACGCCAGCGAGGTGGGGGTTTTGGTCCCTGCTCCTACGTTCTCCGTACCAGCGACCGCACTAGTGAGCAGTGCGGAGGTCCGCACTCCACCCAGCGCTGCTTTGGTCACCTGACGGACGCGTGGCGTCGCCGGTTCCCTGAGGCGTCAGAGATCCCTCACTGGGGAGATCTGGCCAAGGCTGGGGTTGCTATCTTTGATCTTGACTTTGATGCTATTCTTGCTGCCATGTATGTTGTTGCTGATAGTATTGAGGGTGCCTGTTACCTGTGTGTACCGCATGACCTGGGCATTGAGGCTGCTGCGCTAGGTGCTGGTGAGACTGCTGCTCTTGGTGCTAGTGCGTCTGCTGCCCCAGGTGCTGGTGAGTCTGCTCTCTCAGGTACTGCTTCGGCTCAGGCCCTCCACACCTTCACCCTGGACTCGGGTGCGTCCCGCTCCTTCTTTCCAGACCACACCACTCTTACGCCGCTTAGTCGGCCGGTTGTAGTCTCCCTGGCAGACCCCTCTGGGGGTCCTGTCCCTGCTAGCTTCTCCATTGTCCTTCCGTGCCCTGCAGCCCCCTCTGGCACCCTGTCTGGTCTGTACCTCCCCTCGTTCTCTACGAACATGGTGAGTGGAGCGGACGTGCAGGATCGAGGGGTTGACCAGTTCACTCCTGCGAGTCAGCGAGTGACCCACTACACGTGTGCTCGGACAGGTCGACACCTGGCCACGTTCAGTCGTCGGCCAGGGTCGAGCCTGTACACCCTTACTAATGCGTCTCCTCCTGCTGCTGCGTCTGCCCAGGAAGCTGCGTCGAGTCAGGTGATTTCAGCGGCGTCCAGGTCTGGTCCTGAGTCTGCCCCCTGCTCGTGTCGTCTACTCTCCCACCCGACTCTCCTTTGGCACCACCGCCTTGGTCACCCTTCCCTGCCTCGTCTCAGAGGCATGGCCTCCCGTGTCCTTGTCTCTGGTCTTCCTCGGTCTCTCCCTCCCCTTCCTCCGGGGCCTGGCCCTACCTGCGTCCCCTGCGTCGAGGGGTGACAGCGCGCCGCCCCTCACTCCTCCGATTTTCCTCCGACAGAGGCTCCACTGCAGACTCTCCACATGGACGTGTGGGGCCTAGCCCGCGTCAGTGGGCATGGACAAGAGCGGTTCTTTCTGCTGGTGGTTGACGACTACTCGCGTTACACCACAGTCTTCCCCTTGCGCAGCAAGGGTGACGTCACTGAGGTGTTGATCGACTGGATCCGCGCAGCTCGTCTCCAGCGCAGAGAGAGTTTCGGCTCCGACTTTCGTGTTCTGCGTCTGCACTTGAACAGAGGAGGGGAGTTTTCCTCTGCCTGTCTGGGAGCCTTCTGTCATGCACAGGGCATCCGCCAGACCTTCACGCTTCCGGCCTCTCCACAGCAAAATGGGATTGCTGAGTGCCGCATTGGCATGGTCATGGACGTTGCTCGTACGTCCATGATGCATGCGGCTGCCCCCCATTTTCTGTGGCAGTTTGCGGTTCAGTACGCCGCGCATCAGCTCAACCTTCAGCCCCGGGTCTCCTTGCCAGAGACCTCTCCCGCCTTGAGGTGGACTAGGAAGGTTGGCGATGCGTTTGCGTTTCGGGTCTGGGGATCTAGGGCGTTTGTCCGCGACTCGTCTGCGGACAAGCTGTCCCCCCGTGCTGTTCCCTGCGTCTTCCTTGGCTTCCCCCCCAACGCGCCTGGTTGGCGGTTTTACCACCCCACCTCGCGACGTGTTCTGTCTTCCCAGGACGTCACCTTTGACGAGTCGGTGCCATACTACCGTCTCTTCCCCTACCGCACTGTGCCCCTCCCCCCGCCGCCGCTCTTCCTTGCGCCAGGTGCTACCCAGGTAGACCCCCTCCCTCCTCAGGGTCCTGCCCCTTCAGGTGTGTCCCAGGTAGACGCAGTCGAGCCTGTCGAGGTAGAAGTTGACTCTGGTGCTGCTAGAGGTGCTGAGCCTGCGGGTGCCGGGTCTGGGGGTGCTGAGACTAGGGGTGCTGAGTCTGGGGGTGCTGATACTGGGGGTGCTGAGCCTGGGGGTGCTGAGACTGGGGGTGCTGAGCCTGGGAGTGCTAAGCCTCGGGGTGCTGAGCCTGGGGGTGCTGAGCCTGGGGGTGCTGGGTCCACTCGTGTGGCCGGCGGCGGTGCTTCGTCGAGGCGGGAGCCGCTCTCTCCACAGGAGCTGCGCGAGTGGTTCGCCCGCCGCTGGAGACGTGCTGCTGAGTCTGGGGGTGCTGCTGGAGCTCCTAGAGTTGGTCCTGCTGGAGCTGCTGTTGGTGCTGGTGCTGCTGGAGGTGGAGCTGCTGAGGGTGTTGGCGCTGGTGTTTCTACTGGTGCTGGTGCGTCTGGCGATGCTGCTGAGGCAGCTGGTGCTGACGGTTCTACTAGAGTTGGAGCTGCTGGGGGTGTTGGCGCTGGCGTTGCTGCTGGCGCTGGTGCTTCTGAGGGTCCTCGAGTTGGCGCTGTTGGAGCTGGAGGTTCTGCTGGCGCTGGTACTGCCGCTGGGGGTCCTGGTGCCATCCTTGCTGGTTCTAGAGGTGCTGCGCGGCCGAGGCCGTACTTCGTTCCCCTCCTGGAGCAGGTTCTTGGTCTCCCTCCCTCTACTGGTCCTACTCCTCTCTTAGAGTGTCCGCAGCCCGTTTTGTCGCAGTCCCAGTTATAGCCCGCCTCCCCGCTACCTGCTCCTTCTCCCTACACTGGTCCTACTGGAGGTCTTGCTGAGCGTCGTGAGCGTGCGTCTCGTCCTGCGTCACCTGTTCGTGCTGCTCGCACTAGTGGTCGTACTGCGCGTCCACGTCCTCCTGCAATCCCCGGCACACACCAGATGGCACTGCGTCCGTCCACTGCTCCTCTGTGTGTCCCTTTGCCGTCTCCTCCAGAGTCCTCTCTTCCTTCGCTTGCTGACTCGGAGTCCGACTCCCTTCGTGCTGCTAGTCCTTCGGTCACGCGCCTTCTTGCTACTGTTGTCACTGACCCTACCTTTGAGTCCACTGCTGCGTCTGCTCTAGTTGCTGAGCTTGTCGACTTCGCTGCTCGCTGTCGTCTAGACTACGCTGCCAGTCTTGTTGCTGCGTCTGAGTCGGTCTGTCCTCCGTCCGTCGGGGGTGAGTGTGCTCTTAGCACGGACGTCCTTGAGGACAGGCAGGAGGAGTTCCAGTGCTTTGCGGCTGCTTTGCCCCATCTCGTGTCCTCGTTGATTGCCCCAGAGGGAGACCCGGATGCACCAGACATCCCGACTCCTTGATCGTACGCTGAGGCGATCAAGGGTCCCTACTCCTCTCAGTGGCAGTCGGCCATGGACGTAAAGATGGCTTCCTGGAAGTCCACAGGCACCTACGTCGACGAGGTTCCCCCACCTGGGGCGAACATCGTCAGTGGGATGTGGATCTTCAGGGTGAAGCGGCAGCATGGCTCTCCGCCTGTCTTCAAGGCGCGTTACGTGGCTCGAGGCTTCAGTCAGCGGCAGGGAGTTGACTACTTTCAGACCTTCTCTCCCACCCCGAAGATGACCACTCTTTGGGTGCTGCTGCACATAGCCACTCAGCGCGACTACGAGCTTCACTCTCTTGACTTCAGCACTGCTTTCCTGTAGGGCAGCCTGCACGAGGAGATCTGGCTGCGCCGCCCTCCTGGCTTCACTGGGTCCTTTCCTCATGGTACCCAGTGGAGCCTCCGCCGGCCAGTCTACGGTCTCCGCCAGGCGCCCCGTGAGTGGAACGACGCGCTGAGGACTACACTTGCGGCTCTTGGGTTTGCTCCTTCTACAACCGACCCGTCGCTATTTCTACGCACCGACACCTCTTTGCCGCCGTTCTACATCCTCGTGTACGTCGACGACTTGGTCTTTGCCACTGCTGACACTGCTGGACTCGCCCACGTAAAGTCCGAGCTGCAGAAGAGACACACGTGCACAGACCTGGGTGAACTGCGCAGCTACCTTGGCTTGCAGATCACCTGGGACACAGCACAGCGCACCATTACCCTGACTTAGTCACACATGGTGCAGCAGGTCCTTCAGCGCTTCGGCTTCACGTACTCCTCGCCTCAGGCCACTCCTCTGTCTACTCGCCACTCGCTCACAGCTCTGCCTTCGGATGAGTCCGTAGAGTCGAGTGGCCCGTACCCAGAGCTTGTTGGCTACCTCATGTACCTGATGACCTGCACACGACCTGACCTTGCATACCCTCTTAGCATCTTGGCTCGCTATGTTGCTCCTGGGAGACACAGACCAGAGCACATGGCTGCAGCGAAGAGGGTGTTGCGCTACGTGTGTAGTACGTCGGGCATGGGGCTAGTGCTTTGAGGGCGATGTCGAGTAGTCCTCATAGGTCACGCTGACGCTTCTTGGGCTGACGACCAGGCTACGCAGCGGTCGTCACAGGGTTACACCTTCAGCCTTGGCTCCGGTTCTGTTTCGTGGCGGTCTACCCGCTCGTCCTCTGTTCTCGGCTCCAGCTGTGAGGCTGAGATCTACGCAGGGGCCATGGTTGCATAGGAGCTACGCTGGCTCACCTACCTTCTGACTGACCTAGGAGAGCCGCCTCGTTCTCCTCCAGTTCTGTACGTAGACAACAAGGCGATGCTGGCCTTGTGTCGGGAGCACAGACTGGAGCACAGAACGAAGCACATTGCTCTTCGCTACTTCCTTGCTCGTGAGCTGCAGCAGCGTGGTCAGCTGCGCCTTGCTTACGTGGCCTCTGAGGCCAACACTGCTGATATCTTCACCAAGGCCCTTCCGCCTTATGATCATCAGCGTTTCTGTACTGTGCTAGGTCTTGTGCCTACCTGGCCTCACTTGCTCACATCTTGATCTTATTTGTACTGTATTCTTTCTATACCTGCTCTTGCTTGTGTTACCTTTATATATATGTTCATGCATGTGAACTGGCCTTGTGGCCCTACTCTTGTGCTTGGACTGTGTGGTGACTTTGTGATCCACCCTGAGCTTGCTTTGCTTTGCTTGACTGGTCTTGTGACCGCTTGTTCTCCCCCACTTTGCCTATGGGGGTGTGTAAGAGCATTATAGCTTATACATTTGTGTAGGCTATAGTGGGGTAGCCCATATGGGGTACAACCCAATTAGGGTTAGTACTTGTACCCAACTGTTTCATAGTGCATTCATCCGTTCTCACTTCTCGTCATGTCGTACTACAAATGTCAAAAGTCCTAATAGCAGAAGGACTCGGCTACAACTTACTGAGCGTCAGCTAGCTGATGTCGAAGGGTATTCATCTCGAAGTAGACAGTACCACTCAAGAATTCAAGCTGTACCACGGGAGAGGAGGACTCTACATCGGTAAAGCGATCCTCAAGAACAACGTCTTCGTTCTTGACTTGATCCCAGATCTTGGCACTGCCGACAGCGACGCCATCGTGAACTTCACCGACTTGACACATCCTCCGGATCTCGACCCCGACTTCAGTCCGGAAGGCTTCTGGTATTCACATACCATCCCTGAAGCAGAATGAACACGTGCGTTAGTAACAATACAACATTCAGCAGCAGCAGAAACATCATCGGCAGCAGCAGAGGACAACATCGGCAGCATCAAAAAACATCATCGGCAGCAGCAGAGACAACATCGGCAGCACCAGAAACATCGTCAGCAGCAGCAGGAACAACGACACCAGTCCTTGTTGACGAAGCACCACCAACACCCGCACAGCAGCTGAATCCAACTCAACGAGAAGTCCACAGAAGCGCAAACTTCGTCGCCAGCTTCTACTCCAACTCCGACGCGTATCGACGCTCACCCGGACACCGCGCCTCCGAAGACATGTGGCACGCACGCATGGGACATCCAAGCAACACAGTTTTAAAAAACACAATAAGAGCAGGAGTCCTTGACAAGGACTCATTACTACTACCCGACGGCAAAGAACTTCAACGGGCACGAGGAACTTGCCTTACCTGCCCCGAAGTCGATTTACCACACCGACCGTTCATTCCTCATCACAACCCGAGCGCACCCGCGTACGCACCACTCGAGAAAGTGTACAGCGATATCCTCTTCAATCGGGAACCAGGACAAGTTACTTACAACTACACGATCACCTTCATCGACGCCGCCACTCGTTACGTCTGGCACCTAAACCTACCCAGTCGCGACATGGCACTCGCAGCATTCGCTGCCTGGCTACCAGTAGCAGAGAGAGAGTCAGGCGCACAACTGAAAAGCTTCCAGTCAGACGGAGGAGGAGAATACACCTCTGAGCGATTCAAGCAGTACCTGGCGGAAAGGGGGAATCAAGCAACTCCTCTCTCTTCCCTACGCCCATCAGCAGCAAGGTGTCGCAGAAAGAATGAACAGGACTCTGCAGAACAGCATGCGCAAACTGTTACGTGGCATGCGGCTACCCAACTACCAGTGGCCTGCAGCAATGGACCACGCTGTCATGCTGCACAACTTGATGTCGTCGTCTTCACTTCCAAACAATACATCACCGCATCTGCTGTGGACAGGGAAACAGGGCAGCACAAAAATGTTACGAGTTTTCGGGTGCATGGTACAGTACCGACCCCCAGAAGCACGAGCGGGAAGATTTTCACAACGCGCACAGTGGGGACTACACCTCGGCATCGAAAAGAACTACAACGCGTGGAAAATCTTTGACGTCCACTCCAAGGAAACAGTAGCAGCACGTGACGTAATCTTCTACGAACGACTCACGCTTCAGACGTACCTTGCCAACTTGCACGAAAATCAAGATCCCACAGGTGGTTTTCGTGGTGACCGAGCCTTCGCCTCAGCAGCGGACGAAGCAGACTTGGACGAGCAGAACGTGGACAACGCATCAGAAGAAGTCGGACCTCTCCCGTTCTGCTCCGTCAACGTCCCCATGGACGAAGAAAACCCTCGCAAAAGCGCCAACGCCGAAGTCTTCTACCACTTCGCCGACAATGGCTACGTAACACTTGCGACAGTCAACACCAACGAAGCAGAACGGATAGGGCCGAATTTCATACCCGACCCAGAAGCGGGAGATGAAGCAGCTTATCCCGAGGACGCAGCTTTTCCCCGCTACTCACAGACTGGACTGCAGATTCTCGACCTCGTTACCGTAGTCCACGGCAACGCTCTCCCTAAAGAGCCTGCGACAGTTCAGCAGGCTCCGAGGGGGGGAACACAAGGAAAAATGGCGTGAAGCCATGGACAGAGAATTAAAAGTGCTGGAGGAACGGAACACCTGGAAAGTTGTTCCCATCAGCGTGGCAAGGAACAAGACCATTCTCACCGGGAAATGGGTCTTCCGCATCAAAACAAAGGCAGACGGCACAATCGAGAAATTCAAAGCACGCTGGGTCGTACGTGGATTCGATCAGAAGCACGGACGGGACTTCACCGAGACATTCGCCCCGGTCAGCCGACATACCTCACTCCGAATTCTCCTCGCGATCGCCGCTATGAAGAAGAAGAAACTACGGCAAATCGATGTCGCCAATGCGTTCCTCTGCGCACCCGTCGACGCGGAAATCTTCGTCGAGCTTCCACACGGTACCCACGGGGAACCTAACCAAGTCTGTCAATTGCTAAAATCGCTCTACGGGATCAAGCAAGCCCCGCTGCTATGGCAACAGTACCTACACGCTCGACTCACTCGCATCGGATTCCGCCAACTGCCTCACGACCAAGGGATGTACCGACTCACCAAAAACGTTGA